CCCCACTTTTGGGGACAGCCCTGTGGGGGCACTCGGTGCCAAAATGGCCTGGTCCCTCCTGGGGTTGGTTGCTCCCCATGGTTGGTTTTTAGGGGAAGCCAAAACTGAAGCAGCCCCTTGGTGGGCAGCGTGGGGTGGCCTTGATGGGAAACAGGTGGGAAACAGGGTGGGGAGAGACTCTGTGGAGACAAAGTCTCAGTCCCTGTCCCTCCCTCGAGCCCTTTGCAAGAAGGGGATGGGAACAGGACAAATCCTGCCTCTGCCACCAGTGTCTGGACATGCCACTGCAAGTTGTAACCAGGGATGTTTTTCCTGAGGGGGGCTTAGGGTGGGGATAAAAGCACTGGAAGCACAGACCAGCCAAAACACTGCCAGGGACCCCCCTGTCACCACCCCAGTCCCTGAGGCTGGGTGCTGCTGGGGTCCTGCACCCTGGGTTGGGTGTGAGGACATAGGGAGCCAGATTTTGGCTCCCAGAGCACCAACGAGCAGCAGGGCCAGGATGAAGGGATCTTCAGCCTTCCTCTTCCCAGCTCCTTCACTCCATGCAAAGGCAGGAGCAAGTCAGGAGCAGAGGCTGCCCGTGCTCATGATGGTTCTACCTTGTGCCACAGTAAAAACCAAACCAGAGTGCCATCGAGGCCAGCCCAAAACACAGCAGACAGTGGGATGTGAGCATGGAGCAAAGGGGATGTCGCCCCAAGGGGAGGATGAGGATGCAAGCGGGGTGCTGGGGAGGAGGGCTGGGGTGTGGGATGAGTTTGCATCTCTAAGGCACAATCCACCTTGAGGCTGGGACACAGGGATGGGTTGAAGCACAAGACACAGGGTGGTTTCCTCCACTGGCAGCAGTTGGTTTGGAAAAAGCACCTGGCTCTGAAGAAGGAGACTCCATTGAACAGGGAATTCATAAATCCCAGCCTGGCACTGAGACTGCTCCTGTGCTAGAGGAAGGGCAACCCAACGAGATGACTTTCAGATTGATTTCCAATTTTGAAATGGTTTTTCAAAGGAGAAAATACCAAATTGGTTGGAAAAGTGGGAGAAATACCCAAATTTGAGAGCTTTGACTCTCCTTTTTTTGTGCTTTTCAATGTTTTGTCCCATTTGAGGTGAAACTTATGAATTCCCATACTGGGAGAGATCCAGCACTTCAGCAGCTGGTGCCCTAGACCAAATTGCTACCCTGAAGATCAGCATTTCCAGAAATCTGCTCATTACTGTGTTGACAATGCTTCTTTCTATCACAGTCTGCCTTTTCCTTATTAACTCCTTTCCCAGAAATTCCACTCCTCATCTTCTCTGCCACGAACCTCCAGCCACTTACATCTGTTTTCTGCCTACAAAGCTCTGCCAGTGAGTTTGAAAAAACCACCCCAGAACTGGATGGGAGTCTTGACTTCTAGCTCTTGCATCTGCCCAGCAAAATCCACTCCTCAGAGGACCCCGGTGGCTTATTCATTCCCTTGTTCATTTTTAAAAAATACTGAATCACTTCTTTCAGATTTAATATTATTATTGTTATTATTATTATTCTTTTGGTAAACAGTCTCCCAAATGGTGCGGTGAAAAAATTAAAAACCCTCTCTCCTCCCTCCCTCCCCCCCCCAACTTTTCCCCCAAATTAAAAAGAAGTACATTAACGTTGCATGTTAATTCAAGTGTTGTTCTTGTGCAACTGAATCAGACCACCTGCTGGGAGGAGCAATTTTGTTGTTGTTGCCGCTCAGTTAAAAAATCAAAGCAAAAAGAAAGAAAGAAAGAGAAAGGCTCTTTTCCTGATATTTCCTCTATTATATTTTTTTTTTGGATCTCCCAGTGCTTGGCTACAAGAAAACACTGGCGTTTTCCCTGCAGGCAGAGCAAAGCCCCACGGAACCGCTCGCCTGCTCGTGCCCCACTGCCCCTCCTTGCCCATCTGTCCGTCCGTCCGTCCCCCCAGAGC